TCAGAGTCAGGCAATTCACTGCCATGCTCATTATAGGCTTGTCAAACTTTCTGACATTGGGCAGAGAGGATCCGAGACAAGGTTACCCCAAAGGGCAAAGTCTTGCCTGGGGAGGTAAACAAACCCAACCCCGTGTATGCAGGGTTTAAGAGAAATTTTTGCCCGAGCCTACAGGCTTGGAATCACTCCCCTCCTCCCCGAAAAACTGGCCTTGTGCCACATCCTACCTTGTGGGAAGGTTTGGTAATTTCCTAGTCATTTGGAGTAAGTCTTCAGAATAACTAATACAGGTGTCATGGCAAGTAGCCGAAGCATTACATATATACAAAGTACATTATATAAGTAAGAATATGTTATAACAATAGCCATAGAATAGTGACATTATAATAGTTTGCTTCCTTGGTATAGATTGGTAGCAAAAACTTTACCAAAATATTTGCAAGAAATTTTGTCAGCTTGTATGACAATTGATAATTTAGTCTGAGAACATTCCCTGAACAATAGATTATTTCAAGCATTTTGTGAAAGTGTTGATCCCAAACAATTGCTGTCCAATGGACATGTCTTGGAATGCATATGTGAACTTTGTTTTGAATTAAAAACTTTTGTGGGAGAGCAAAAATTTGATCTCTCTGCTGTGTTTGAATCTTCCAAATTTTTACAAATGTTAGCTTACTTGACAGGTATTTTTCTTGATTAAATGAACTGAAGATTTCCCTTCAAGGAAGTAATAGAAACATTATTATTGCACATGAAAAGTTTGCTACTTTCAAAGTAAAAATTCTACTGTGAATAATATATAAGAAGTTGTTAGAACAAATCAGTCCCTGCTCTGATGTTGCTACTGCAATACAGGCACATCTTCAGCAATAGTTGAATGTTTTTGATGGATATTTCTCTGCGGGAAATCTGTAACAGCAACTGTTGGATAAGGAATCTCTTTCTATTTCAACTATGTGCTATACTTGAAGATGATCCCTTGAAAGAGGAGTTTATTGATGATTCTGCCAAAAAGACTTTCAAATTGAAGACATTGGAGAAATTTGAGGCATCACAAGTAGCAGCATTTCCAAGTAATTCTAAGAAAGCATATGGTTTCACATCTTTGGGAAAACAGGTTTTTCCAATATTCTCCATGTCAAAATCAAGTTTCAAAACCATTTCAATACTCAGCATGTCATATGCCTTGCTCTCAGCAGAAAAGAACCCCAGTATTTCAAACATAATTGAAAAGAAGCAAGGACAATAATTTCATTAAAGATTAAAATGATTTGATTTGAAAATTTTATAGCTTCTAAAAATAAGATAAGAAAAGGTTAAGAACTACTGACCTAGGGAATTAAAACATTGGTTTGTGAATTTGGTAGCATTAGTAATAGTGAATTCAATCCCTGGGCTGGTAGTACAGACTTAGACGATCTATCCCTAAACATGGACAGCAGAATGAGAAAAATCTATCCCTGTAGATTAAATAAGGAGTTCAATTTGAAATTCCCAGAAGCTTAACTGAATCAACAGTGACCTAAAGAAAAATGGATGGGACAACAGCCAAAATGCTGTTATAGCAACAAAGATAAAGATATTAGCCTGAACGTAAATATTGTAAATAACATTTATATTACATTTTTAAAACTATATCAATTGTTCAAAATGAAATCTTTTACAAGATTAATATCTCATTTTTGAAATTATCATTATATGCTTTATTATTCATACCAACATTCTCATTTTTGTTGTTATACATACATTTGTACAACCTTTTGATGTTCCTTCATCTTAATTTTATAGAGCAACTAGTCTCTCCCTTGTATTACTTGCCACAACTGCATAAGATGGAATACACATAGTTTTTTTGTCATATTTTCTTGTGTGTGTGTGGGGGGGGATATCATTAAAGAGCAAAACTGCTTTTGAATACTGTCATAATGTTGCATGGTATGGACTACAAATCCTCTTTTTAGATGTTCCACTTATGCATGGCAGTTTTTTTATTATTATTGTCCTCAAGACTTCTGTCCACAATCATAGAAGCTGATGTTATGCTTGGAGGTAGTTGTTAACTTGAAGGATATTTCAAAAGCTGATAATAACCAGTTGGTAAGAGTTTAGGTCATCACATGAATTTGTCCTGACACTGTTGGCAACAGACTATCCATTTTTTTTAACTAAATGGATGGTGGGAATAGAAGTTCAGGTATTGTCTGATAAATATTAGTTTATAATAGTCTATTTAGGAATGGCAGTTTCTTTTTCCATTGTGAACTGTATGGATGATTTTACCAAGTTCATGTGATCCAATAGTATTTAAATATCTAACTAGTGGGGCCAAAGTATTCAAGTCAAATCTACAGATCTAAGCCACATGGTTAGCTTCAGTGGTGATGTTCCTATAGCCATTTCCAGAAAGTATTCAATGTATAAGCTTACTATTAGTGGAGATAATGGCAATTACATAGTTAAACCTTCTTGTTGGTATATCTTGGAACCTAACTGGGAATGTTGTTTGTAGAGGGAATATCTCCATCAAGTTATCTATTGGAATTCTTGTGAACTTTCCTAGAAAAAAGTTTGATTCTAATTCATCTTGAACTGCCAATAGAGCTTCATCAGTAGAAACTTTTGGGAATAGGTTCACAACACCCAAATTCACCATTCAGCTGTTAAGAATGGGAGCATCTCCGATGGTTTCCACAAAGTGGGTAAAATTCTTTAAGTATGATAGAGACTTACCTGTTAGTGGGTTGATTATGTCTACAAGTAACTTTTTCAGTGAGTGACAGTTTGAGCCCTGACAAGTGACTATACAATACTAACTTTGTGTAAATTTGAGTATGTTCTATATATGAGGTAGCTTACTATAACACTGCGTATATTTGAAAAGATTAAAAGGATATGTGGGACATACAACATCAGGATATTTATTAAGTTCAACCTTTTGGAGAGATCTCTCCTGAACCAAGCCTTCACATTCTGGGAAAAAACATGACTAAGAATTGGGTTAAAAAAACATATCTAGTTCTTTGAAAATTGAGTTCTGGTAGTGTTGAAAAGTCATGTAATCTGTTTCAATAGAAGAAATAAACAAAAATGAATAAGACTGGTGATTAATCGATATGAAATACTGTCTAATCAAATAAAGCAGAAAAACACACTGTGCAGATAGATTGTATAAAGGATCTGATTGGTATACGATAGATACTGCAGGTACAACTACTGAAACATCATGAATATAACAACAAAGATGAGAATCCTGGTCCCAATCATAAAACATAATATATAACATAAATTATCATAATCAAACCAGCATTTCAGTGTTTAAATAGTAAGCATTTTTGGTTGTATAAGTTTATCATATAAATATGCTAATAATATATTGAAAAGATCCATTACAATTTAATATATATTAAAGATTACTATATATTACACTATTATATATTAAAGATATATGAATCAGTTTTTTTGACAACCTGCACTTGGACTAAATGATTCTTTGATTTCTGAAACTAATCTTTTTACTTACTTACTTTATTGCCTTTGTATTATTTTGTATTTAATGACTTTTCTGAAAAACAAAACTTACATTAAAAATATAAAAGAAGCCAGTTGGTATAGATGCATTCATGGGTAACACATTTCCAATCTTCTCTCTTTTGTTACTGTAGTGTCCCAATATATCTCCAACATATCTTATGTTGTAATTTGAATCATGGTATAAACACTTTTCGACTCTACAAGTAACCATCACAGATTATTTATTTTATCTTTGTTTATATATTTAAAACATTAAGAGCTCTGTCTATTGGGACAAAGTCCTAATACAGAGAGGTCATTAAAACTCCAGAATAGAATTGGTTAAAAATAGGAAACTTTTGAAACAAAACCAGAGAATGTGCACATTTATATTTTCTTTACTATATAGTGATTAAAAATTAAATTGAGTAGCAATGAATGTTATTCAGAAAATGGTTATTTACTGAAGAAATTGCAGTATATTTAAAGAATTTGTTATTTTACTATAAATATTTATAACCTTGAAGATCATTTTACCATGAATATATTTTCACAAAATTATTTTTTTACATATTGTTTTAGAACAAAAATTATAGATATTCTTCCTTGATTCTGACTTTAAAATATTAGATTTTTGTAATGTAAAAGTAAATAAAACTGTTTGAAAAGCTTGCCCGATGGATTGAATCTATATCAGGTTGCATTATTAAATCGCCCCTTACTTAAATTCTTGCAATGTAGTTCTGTTAAGCTTCTTTTTTTTTTTTTTTGTTACTAGGGCATTTATATAACAAACTAATAGAGAAAAAATCTTTGTTTGAAATCCCGAAGATGTCAAACCTTTCGGTCATATGCCTACTTTCAACAAAAAAATACAATTGCACTAATTAATTAACTTGATTTTTAAAGATACTACACTACAAGGTAGCGTGAACGACCTATAGAATTAAATAATCTCATATCAAATAAAGATTGTAATTTAGTGGCGGTTTCAGTTACTAGTTAATTTTAATTTAAAAATAAATTTATGTTTAAGTAACATTTTGATTATTTATTGATTGACCAAAGATATTGGGGATAAGTCTATTATTCCCTTGGTGTGGAATGATTTTCTGTCTTATCTGACAAAATTCATTAACTTTCTCTGCTTGGATTTCTTTGCTTTCAAATTTCTATGGCTTCCATAAACCATGATAAATTCAGTATTAATTTAATAAAAAATATCCGTATTTACATGATATATGCATTGCAGATTTTACAAGTAGATAATTAAAAACGGTCGTTCTTGGAGACGACAGTCAAATTCTTTTACGAGATGAGTCATACAACTGGTCCTATGTTTGTACTTACAATAAACTTAACTCCTAAGGGTAACAATGATCATAAGATTCCTTTCCGCCTGATCTGTCAATGCTAGGCTGTACTAATCGACTATCGATAGCGAACAGGATTTAGCGACGTAACAAATCGTGACGCGAGTATGGATCCGGATGTGTTCAATGCGCATGTTTGCTGTGTCATGTGACAGCCATTACTCGAGCGTGAGTGACGCGAAAAAGTAAGCAGCCGACTTTTATTTCTCCAATTTTTATTTTGTGCACGATGTTTTTATTTTTTCTCTTACTGTTATTTCTTTCTTTTAGCTACTTATTTTTAAATCTCTAATTGAAAAGACGTTAAAAGGAGGGATTGGTTCGTTATAGAAAATTTACTTTATTGATCCCCCATTTTTCGATAAGATTCACTCAATGTTACATTGCTTTTAATTTTTTAAGTTGTTGGTTTTCCTCTTAAAAAATAAACGACTTTAAATATTTATAGAACAATTATAATTTTGTTTTCGTGTTAGGTATGATTAGCCTAGTTAATTGCTATTTCTATTGCTTTCTAATACGTTTTTCATGACTTTTCTATTCAAAGACCGAAATTAAAGCTTAAGCAGCCGATAATTTCAGTTTTCCCTATATAAAATTACGCTTGTTCTAAGGTTAGTATTTCTTGAATGAGATTATTATTGAATTTTTAAGTTTAGTCATAAAATAAGCTACTGTAAATTTTAACTACTTAACTTTTTAATTCATTGTCACCTTTTAAAAATATTATTGTGTAAATTCGGTTAAAAAAAAGAAAAATAGGAAAAGTATTTTGGAAATTATTTTCTTTTTGTTAAATGAACGGGAAAAAGTATACCTATGTACCTGTAAATGACAGTTTGTCAATGCTTTTACAAATTCTGTTTAAATGACATACAACACTAGTAGAACAATGTTAAATCCACCCACACAAAACCTCCCCCTTAGTTCGGTTTCTTTCTCCCACTCACTTTCATAACAAATTTCGTGTCTTTCATCATAATTTATTTGTATTTCTCTCCATACACAATAACGCATACATACAATATCCCTTATTTTTTGTCAGGAGTGGAAACCTAAATTCTGGCAAGTATAAATTTATAATTTGAATTCAGACTACTTTAAGAAGGCTGACACAGCCGATCAGGTTGAAGAGAAGTGAATAAAAAGAAAGGTGAATTCTCTTGTCTTCTCTGGCAAATTGGAATTTTTTTGTTAGTATTTAGAACTCTTTAAAACTATGCACTCAAGTACAATGAACTGATTTTTTTATTCCAATTTTAATGTTCATTATGGTGAGCATGCCAGGAGAAAAAAATTCTGTAATAAATTTACTTTAGAATTTCTGATACAAATCCCAATTTCGCTTTTGTGTTTAGAACGAGAAAAGTCTTCCACATTTAATTTAAATTTTATGCTTTGTTTTGTTAGTATTAATTACCGTAGTTACGACTTTAATTAATCAATGATTTTAAATATTTTCCTGCATATTTCGGAGAATGGTAATGAAGTTTTATCTTTGTCTTAAAATAAATGCTTCCTATTCAAAAATCTCTTGTAGACCATCGAAGTCGGGACTTGAAGTACAGAAATGTAAGATCAAATTTAATGAGCAAGGTTTTATTAATTAAAATATGAAAAAAAATGACCTTATTGCCTTCAGTCAGTGATAATTTTTGGTGTACGTAAGAATGTAATAAATTATTCATTTTTAGATTAGTTTTGCTTGCTCTTCTCACGTATGCACTTCGGACCCTGACATGTTTTTTGTTTTGTTTTTTACGCAGTGTTCTATTTTGAAATTTCTCAAACTAAAAAAGATAAACTTTTATATACATTTCTTTCTTTTTTTTTTTTTTTTTTCTCCAAATAAAAGAATTGTTTCAATGATAGAAATAATTTTTATTTTATTATGGATTATGCATTGTGATTGCCCACCAAGAGAAAATTTTCATTTTTAAGGGCTACGGTGTTTCTTTACTGGATCAAATAAATTTGTCAAATCATGTGCTTAGTGCTCTCTACCTCACTCATTCAACAAAAAAAAAAAAAAAATGAAATAATGACCTCTACTCAGTGTTTTAAAAACACTTTTTTCCCGACTGACTACTCTTCGTTTTAATTTGCATAAAATAAAGACCATTTATTTTGTAACTTTGTTGTATTTATTTACAATTTACTTATCAGTTTTTCATGCACTTGGAAAAACCTAATTTTTTGTTTTTCCTATCCAAGTAAACTAAAGTAACAAAAAAAGACTCTTTAGAGGCTTATTTGTATTTTAATTTTTAAGAAAGATTAAAACTCTTTAATGTGCAGTTATGATTTTTGCTTTTTTGGTAATTACATTTATATTCTTTGTTGCTCGCTATAACTGGTATATGGTATGTTATGTAACTAACTACTATAAACAAAAATGAAAAAAATGACTAATCCATGTTAGACCATTTACACTACAGTTTACACAGCTACCTTATGAATCTTTGGATAGGATTGTCACTGTTAGCATTAGAAATTGCTATACATGACTACTTATGCGTTATTTTAGAAAATAAATTTTATTAAATTGTAAAGAATGACATTATTGTGTGTCCTCAACACTAACTTATTTTTTATCTCTCTCACTCTCCATAATGCCATGTGACATTTTTGTGTCATGCTTGTTGCTTTTTTTCTCAACCAACAATAGCTCAAGGTTTAAAAAAAGGGGGGATTGCTATATTGCCACAGTTATTGCTTTAAATAAAACATGTTCACTACCACATGACCTGCATATTTATCATGTGACACTACACATTAAGCAGAATGAATGTTAAGTAAAATAAAATCCATTTAAAAGTTTGAAGCTTGTTAGGTTACATACAAAAAAGATAACTAAATGACAGTGATTCTGTCAGAATGCATAATCATAGCAAAGCTGCTGCTTTTGAAAAGAACCGAAATGCTAAAGAACCCTCTACATACATGGCATACTCTTTAACCTAAAAGAAAATTACGTTATCATTAGCAAGTCTGTATTCATTAGCTTAAAATCTGAGAAATAATAATCTTTACAGCTGTTAGGTTCGTCTCTCGTTTTTTTGTTGTTTTTTTTTTCAAAGTCTAAATGGGTAAAAAAGCTGATTTGAACCTATTGTATCATGATTAACACTTTTAATAAAATGCATTCTTTATAAATTAGAAATATTTGACATTTCATTAATATCTTGATTTCAAAAAAGAATACCCTACCTAAATTCAAAGTGTAGTAATTGAATAACATGACTGCCGAGATGTTGAACTCTCTGCATATAGAGAGGAACCCGGACGAGGCTTGCCGAAGGGTAGGGTTTCGTTCGGGGAGGTTGACCTAACTAGCCCTTTATACGGGTTTAGATGGGTTTTATTTTTGGCTGGGCTGAAGAAAATGTTAAAAATTTGATTTATTCCTGTGGGTGAATTGATAAATACCATCTTGATTTCACAGTTTAAAACAAACTTTTTTTTAACATGACCAGATGTTGAGCATATAGAAGATTTCCTCCCAAAGTCTTCTATAGTATTTTATTGAAAGCTGTACTGAAGAAAATGTAATAATTTGATTTATGCCATCCAGATATTACTCTTGGTGATTTGAACAAACTTTTTTTTTTCTTACTTTTCATGCTTACTACTAGCAATAAATCTGTGATATGAACAGCATTAAAATGATTTATGAGGGGAAAGCTGTAAAAGTAGTAATGCTCTTAAATTTTATCAGTACCCCTAGTCTTAACTGACACTGCTTGAGGTAATACATTAAGCAGTATGACACTTCATTTAGTAGTTTTGAAAAGAGGGGTCTCATTTAAATATTTTTAGAAAATTTTAGTTCTTAAATACAAAAAAGGAAAAAAATAAAACTTATGAAAAAGATATATCTATATACATCAATAAGATAAGCATAATGGTGAAAGAAACTATTACATATTTATTTTCAGAATTCTTTCCTTGTCTATGCACTTAACACACTATTTATTCATAGATCATGGATTGAACATCATACAGCAAAAACTTTCAGATCAAAATTCAGTTAACACTCTCAGGCTATAAACTTTTCAATCCATTTTTTGTAAATGACTTTTACAAATAAAATATACAAGTATACTTTTACAAATCTAATAGTTTGGTTATAAATTAAAATATTAAACATTCAATAGTTTACAGTTGTCAGACACTCAGAAAAATAAAATCTAAATTACAGTACTTTTCAACATTAACAATTTTATCTGCAACATTCGTGAAAAAAATTATATATACCAACTTTAACATCATTTAATATATCATTCTACATAGATTATAAGAAAGTTAATCCACCATAAAGTTTAAATATAAGTTGACTAACAGGGATATCTGATATTACCTGAGGAAAAGTAACTTCAAATATAACACAGGAAATTGTTAATATATTTTTTCTTGTACATCATAAATGAAAAGATAAAAAATAAAGATTTACACATGAAAAAGTTATCAAAGAAAAAATATTCTGATGCCCAAGGTTGACTGGGCTTCTGGGTGCCAGTAATGTTGTTTGCAGATCTAATTCCAGAATTACCAACATAGAACATTTGAAAAGTATAGTGAGAGGTTAAGGCCAGCAATCTTGAGATATTGCCTTGTTGATGTTTATGGCAAGGCTGAATCTTACTAAGAATTGAATTCATTTGTTGGATTTGTGGGGATCCTGGCAATGAACACCTATCCCCCTTAAGATAATTACTTGACAGTTCCATTGCACAACTTTTGAGGGTTAATATTTCAGAAAAGCATGTTGGTCATCCTATCTTTTGGTTTAAGCACTAGATAATGTCAGAAGTCCATTGTATTCTAGACAACCTCAGAATAGATTTGCATAACTTGAACCTCTCCATGAATCTTACAACAGCTTAGAGTTTATTTCTATGATTACATCATTGTTTCGGACAAAAATGCCTCACTTACAGACACACTAGTATTCTTGGTTTATTTATTTACATTTTAAATAACTGAAGAAAATAAAATTTAGTCCTGAAAATTTTAGAATTTTTTTTTGAAATTGTTTTTCAATGTTGCACAATATTTGGCAAGCAAAACAAAATTATTTTTATAACCTTTTCAGTTCTTTTGTTTGGCTATAAAAAATGAATCCCTAATTTACTCTTGGTGACCTCAAATGACCTTGGAAGTTAGTACCACCAATCTTATTTTT